AAAATGCATTGCAGAAACGTGCGGTCACCACGAGTGACAGGTAAATAGTAGGAGCATGTCCTAAGAATAGCGGCCCGTTTCGTTAGGATTTAGCTTGACCAAATTATGATAACTGTTTGAGGGCTGATTACTTGATTTGTGAACGGGCTATAATCCGGAAATGACCACTGTATGAACAGCACGACGGAAGTTTTCCCCAATGTGCACAACCGCCCTCTTGATAACGTCAATCTCTAACCAATTGAGTTCAGTGCTTACAGATAATCACATTGGGTTTGCCTAGTGTTGTGTGTGATTTGGTATCGCTTTCATGGTTAGGAATTGACAACGGCCATTGGGTAGACAGAACTACGCGGGAGGAAAGCGAGACGATTGATGCCCGATTGATAGTCCAAATTCAACGATACACAGCGCGTCTTTTATTTGCTCATTTCAAGACGTGTAAATCCGCGAAGAGGTTCGCATCCGTGCTGAAGACCAAGGAAACATTAAAGCACCCAGGCGTTCTATCAAACTATATACTACAGTCATGGTGTTTCCCTCAGATATCGGTCAACAACTAGCGGAATGCATCTCAGAGACGAGTGATCAGTCAATTCGTATTCCACGGAATGTCTTTCCTCAAAGTTGCTGAGTAAAAGTGGTTTGTGTTTGTGTGCGATAGAGGTTAAACCAGCAGCGTGAATGAACATTGCAACTAAGGTCGACCAATCCGCCTCCCGAGCTATATACACCCATTCATCATCATCATCATCATCATCATCATCATCATCATCATCATCATCGTCATCATCGTCATCATCATAATCATGGTCATGATCATGATCATCGTCATCATCTGATAAGAGATGCCAGTGTAGCAATATTGATGAATTCATGCCCTGGACGACTTCGCTGGATCTCAACTGGTGCCTTCTTTAGAGGAATACGATATAGGTATATGGTTTGGGAATGAATTACAAAATGAACACTTCTAAATGCGGGGAGGCGTCTCCAGGGCAAAGCCAAGGTGATGAATAAGTCTTTTTGTTGACATGAAATTGGTTTCCATCAGTTGATTGCAATTGGCTCGGATATCTTGAGTATTCTGGCGTCATCGTTAGTAAAAATCACTTGAAATGCGATCCACGAGGTGTTGCATCATCAAGAGATGCTTGGCTATCGATGCGCTTAGTGGTTTGTAATCACGTAACGTACTAGTTACCGACTGTGTGGACTTTATCAGGGCAACCCTGCGCTGAACCCAGTTCGGAATGTGTTCCGAAACCCGATTACGTAATTGCCTTTCCGTTCTGCTTATGTCAGTGTCTCCGCACCCACATTGGAATGGATAGATTACGTTTGAGTTGGCGTACAGAGGTGGACGTTCTTTAACCTGGGGACGGGGATACTCCTTGTCCTGTGAACAATTCTGGGTTGGGCCGCGTAATAATTCCGGTAACCGTTGTTGAATTAGATTAGTTACATCATCATCTTTGAATGGAAAACAAATTGTGATCTCCAATCTAGACGCTGACGCAACAACGGGCTTCTTACTCTCCGATCTTTGATCTACTGTGCTTGTCAACAAAATCCTCGAGATAACCATTTCTTGTTAACGTGTGACGAAAACTGGATCTCGTTTGATATTGTGTCATCAGTGCAAATTCGATGGCCTCTATCGAATAGGGTATGAACAAGACCACGTTTATATGCAATTGGCACAAAACGTCCCAAGTTGCATGTACTGACCTGTCCAAGGTGTTTTACGATAGATCGATCGTGACATAGTTCTATCTGCCTTTCGGGCGATATCGATGTCAAGGAAGCTCAGGCTATTGTTCTGTTCAGTTTCCATGCTGAATCGGATGTTCGGATGTGGTCGATTGAGGCCTTTGAGGATATTCTTGGCCGGTTTCACATCATCCATGATAATGAGAATATCGTCAACTTATCTTCTGTATAGCGTTGCTTGTTTAAGTAAATTCTGAGCTTGAGATTCCTAGTTTGCCATGAATAAATCCGCAAGTACCGGTCCCAAAGGGCCTTCCATAGCCACGCCATCAATTTGTCTATATGCCCTTCCTTGGAATGTGCACGAGACGTTTGTAGTACACCGCAGTAGGAGTCTCTCTAAGATAGAGGCAGGCAAAATGGTTCTCACTTGATCTCTTTTGATGTGATCACAAATTATTCGAATAGCTTCAAGAACACGAACATTGGTGAGTAATGATTGTACATCCGGCGAAGCCATCTGTTTCTTAGCAATGTTCAGTAGGTCCAATTGTTTTACCATGTCAAAGGTGTCTTTCACGGTATATTTGATTATAGAACTTTCCACTGGCTGAAATACGTTTACATGCCACTTTGCCAGTTGATGTTGTGTTGAGTTCCTCATCAACAAAATAGGTCTCAGCGGTACACCAGGTTTATTTAATTAAAATAATCCATAGAGTTGCGGGGAGAGGCTTCCTCGTGTCTTCAGTTTTCGAGCTATATCCTCATCGATAAAGTGACCTGCCAGAAGGAACTGAACTTCGCTAGCAATTTTCTGCTCCCAATCTTTTGGATCGTCGCACGACGGTTCTGGTTGAAATTTCGTGGAGTCACTCAGAATAGATTCCATTTTGTGCACGTAGTTTGTTCGGTCGAGTAACACTACTCCAGATCCTTTATTGGGGTGTAGAATAATGAGATCCTTCTTGGACTGAAGTTACATTCAATGCAATCAAATGATCTGTTTTGAGCAAGGAGAATTGGTTCGAACTCATTGTTCTATATTGTATTTCTAAATCCAACAGCTTAGCTTTTATTCAGCATTCTGCGTGTTTTGATGAAGGCGCCAACGGTTTCAGTTGTTGATAAAAGTACTAAAATCGTGATTGTGTTTCCAGACTGTTGATCTTTCTTGGCGGTAGGCAAAAACGAAGATCGAGGGAGAGCTTCCACTTCAATTCGATTCAACTGAACTGATGATAGACTCGTAACGTATTTCTCCGGTTCGGACGGGAATCGGGATTCAATCATGTCATGTTTCAACGACTGCTGCAACTTTCATTTCAACGAGTCTTCTCTCTTATGGATTGTCTTATTCAGGAAGTTAGTGAACTTGATATGACAAACTAAATTCAATCCACTCATCCATCCATCCATTCATTCATCCATCCATCCATCCATCTATCCATCCATCCATCCATCCATCCATCTATCCATCTATCCATC